GGCAGAGCCAGAAAAAAAGGAACTATGTATCGACAGTTGTTGAATTGGAAATCAGTACACAGGGGCTCATTACACTGGTCTCTTTACTTTTGCATAGTATATGTTTGAAACTCTGTAACACGCAGGTGGGAGGTGGCATCTCATGGCCGTTTTGATTTGCATTTTCCTAATGGCTGGTGAAGCTGAACGGTGTTTTCACAGATCAGTTCGCCATTTATGTGTCTTCTCGGGAGAAGTGTGTGTTCAGGCCCTCTGCTTATTTTACCATTGGGTATTTTTGTTGTTGTTGAGTAGTATGAGTTCTTTCTGTATTTTGGATATTAACCCCTAATTGGGGGTGTTTGTAAATATCTTCAAAGGGGACATTTTCAAAGTGGAAATCCAGTATTGCATGCCAATCATTCAAGGGAACTGGAAAATAAATTCAATGACAGCAAAGCAATGTTATTAAATTCTAGTAGTCCACTGCCTCCAAATCTGAAGTTGCTTTCTCATTGTTGAAAAGACGTTTCAAGGAGATCAGGAGTGGAAATTTACTTCAGGAGGCAACCTAAGGGCCAGGAAGACAACCGGTGACAAAGGAATACTTTGTCACTGTATATGACCAGGTGCTCAGGTATTATTTAAAGCTCTGTCCAGCCAGGTACCCCCAAAAACTTTGGAGGGCAATCACTAGGGTTCCAAGGAACCTCACTTTGAGAAATAATCATATGATATCATTGGCTTTTTAAACTGGACAGAATAATGGCCGTTCTCTCATTTCATTGCACAGAGTACATTTTTCCATTACTAACCATGTCCTCTGGGCTTTAGCTTCTTTCTCGGACAGGCACACCTCTTTTCCCGTGTGTGGCCTTTGCACACAGACTGAATCTTCTACCGCTTTGAGACTCAGTTTCCAAATCTGCAAAATTTGGGAAATGATGGTTCCTTTCTCGCAGAGTTGTTGCGAGGATTCAATGAGGTCATGTGTATCGAGGGGTTAGCACCAGTGGTGACAAGAACACAGAACGTAGTAACATCCATTTGATAAGTGGAGCTGGTGTTATTACCTAAGATAGCAGGGAAAGTATTTGTCTTGCAGAATCCTGGGAACTATGCAACCAGGGAAGGAGGATTCCTGGTTTACCTGGGTGCATCCAGGGACATTCGGACCCGTGAATATCTATATTCTAGGAGAGGAACAGATAGTAAGGAGCAGAAGTGGGATTCAGATTAGATACAAGGTAGAACTTCCAAGAAGTGAGGACTGGTAAACCTTGAATAATGCAATCATTTCTTTTCTTCCCAACTATCTCTATGAAGAAATACAGAGTCCTGCAATTTGAGTAGTTTAGTATGATCTTGTTTAAAAGCAGAAAGAGAGATGAATTGGTTTCATTAGCATATTTCCTATAATCCCAGTAATTATTCGAATCATTTATTGTTCACTGGACTTTCGGAAATGGGTGCAGACTGTTAATTGTTCCAATGTCCCTTAATGCCGATGGGTAACGATTCGCCACATTGTGCTCAGAGAAGCCGTGGACGCAGGGAGATACAGGGTTCACCCAAGGCAATGCAGTAACACCTGTGAAGTGGGATTTGACCTGCCCCAGGAGGAGGGGCAGGTGTTTCTCTGAACTGGAGGATAGGCAGCAATTGTGCCCTGTGTCTGTGTTCACCAACCAGCGTACGACAGTGGTCTCTGTTCATGGGGTGGGCTTCTTGCATCGGGGAAAACAGAAAGCAGTACCTGAAGGAATGAGAACAAGATGGTCATTTTTTAAAAGATTTTATTTGTTTGTTTATTTTTAGAAAGGGGAAGGGAGGGAGAAAGAGAGGGAGAGAAACATGAGTGTGTGGTTGCCTCTTGCACACCCCCTACTGGGGACCTGGCTTGCAACCCAGGCATGTGCCCTGACTGGGAATCAAACCAGCAACCCTTTGGTTTTTCAGGCCAGCGCTCAATCCACTGAGCCACACCAGCAAGGGCAAGATGGTCATAATTTGATAAACCGATGGAGGAACTGAAGTTGGAATTACACTGAAGAAACCAGACCTCAACTGTAAGTCACACGTGACACAATTGCTGCCTTTTCTTGTGCTGTGCCCATGGCAGACATCACTAGTCCATCACAGCACACTTCCTGGAACACAGCCTCTGAATCTTTCTCAACACCTTCTTCAGACAGCCACGACTAGTTGGTGTGAGATGACATTTCTGATTCGATAAGGTGGAAAGGGGGCAAATGGTAGGCATTGGAGAGCTGGAAGGTGAATTAGACTGTGAATTCTCAGGAAAGGGATTATGTCTTGTTTATCATCAGACTGCCCATGCCCAGGACTGTGCCTGACCAAGCTTGGGCATCTACTAATGATTATTGAACCAAATGTGGCCTAACTTACCATTCTAACAGGCAATGATTCCAGCGGCATCTACAATAACAGCTAACATTGAATGGGTATTTGCTGTGAACCAGACACTGTGCGCTAATCTTTGAAGGCAACATTCATTCCATTTTATCTGTATAACAACCATGTGAAATATGGACTATTATCTCCAATTTGCAGGTGGGGAAACTGAAGCAGAGGTCAGTAACTAGCTCAAGGTCATCCGGCTAAAAGGGGAAGAGCTGAGCTTTGTACTCTTGTCCTGGCTGACCCCGCAGTGATAACTGTTATATTTAGTAAGCTACGTTCCAAACCCTGTTCTCTGACCTGTGCTCGCAGTAATTCCTCCCATCCTTACGGCTAGTGCACCTACACACAAGGTACTGAATTTTTATGGAGTCTTTACGTCACTGATGAAGAAGCAGAGGCCCGGAGAAGTTCCATCACTCCTCTAAGGTCACAGTTAAGAAATGGCCGAGCTGGGATTGGAACCCAGGAAGTCTGGCTTTGAGGCCTCGAATTTATCACTCAGACTCCCAACTGAGAAGCCTCTGCCCCTTGTGCTCACCAGTGTCTGATAGTGTTTGCACAGTCCCTCACCAGGACGCCTGCTGTCCTGAGGACTCGCACCCCCCCACCCCCAACACCCCCAAGCAGAAACTCGAACTGCTTTCCCCGACCACCTTCGGTCCCGACAGAATCACCTCCCTGTGGGCTAGCACTCGACCATCCTGCACCCCAAATTTTTCACCCCCTCACCTGGCTTGTGCTACAGTTTGGGTTTCCAACGAGGCGATGTTCTGCAACTGGAAACTTTATTAGTGTCTCTGGAACTTAGAACAGGACCAGGCTGGGAAGTATTTATTGGTCTTAGGGGGGGTTAGGGTCCCAGCTACCTCTTCCAAGCAGCTCCCACCCCACCCAAGTGTCCTGACCACAATTTTAAATGTCTCTGGCTACTTAAGGAGCTCTCTCTCGAAGGCATTTAAAATGACAGTGTCGGGTGGTCTTTCCCTATTTCGGGCCTGAGACAGGAGGGGAGGGGTCAGGTGGAGTTCAGCATCTTCTTTCCTTTACCTCCAAGCGCCCCAGCCCTAACCCCACCTCCAGGCAGCGGCAACTCGCTTTAAGATGCCAGCAAATGCACCTCCAGTTGTCGACCAGAAGAGGTCGCTGCAGAGCGAGCAGCGCTCCCAGGCACTCACAGGAGCAAGCACACAAATATCCCAATACTCGTACATATCCGACCTTTATGCGCTTCTAGACCAATACCCGGTCACCCCAGGTCTCTTCTCCCACCCCCCCATCTTATTCTCTCTGCATTCCTTTCCCCCTGCCTGCCCCATTCCCCTCCTGTCCCCTTCCAAAGAATTCCTGAAGTTCACAGTGCTGCTGAGGGGCCCGGGTCCCAGGCGCTGTGAGCGTCTCAAGAGCGTGGGCTATTCCGCTGTGGCGGGGACCTGGTGCCGGGCGCCGGGAGGCCTTTGAAACTTGGCGAGTTTTCCTTGCAGGGGTCTGCGGCCTGGGGAGTGGGAGTGGTAACTCTGCTGAGATCCAAGGGCTCCGAGGACAAGATGAGCTAAGGGGTCTTACAGCTCCCTTTTTCTTAATGAACACCCTGGGGGGTGAAAGAGAAATTACTCTGCCAAGGCCCTCTGCCTCTAGGGTTTATTTGTGGTTCTAAGCTCCCACTTTCTGGGATTGGGGTTGAACTGGGAAGGAGTAGAACATGGAGAGAGACCCCAATAAGTAACTGTCCCCCTGTAATTCTCAGATTCCACCCCCTTAACTCCCCCCCCCCCCCAAATGCTTTCTTTCCTAAACCAGACTCCTTTCCTGAGAAAAGCCGTGTTAAGAAAAGTGGCTGCAGCTGAATTCCCCCGGAGTGGATGGAATGGTGTGTGTGGTGGGGGGGGGGGGTACTCTTTCCTGCGAGGGGCTTGGCAGCGGGGACATTGGATTGGCTGGCTGCGCGGCACAAAAGCGCCGCATGCACAGATGTAAGGCTGCGCCCCTCTGCGGGCGGGGGTCCCGGCTCGGCAGATGGCGAGAAGCCGAACTGGTGACGGATTGTCCATCAAATGGCACTTTCTGGGTGGTGGGGCTCTTGAGGCACTCAGTCGTAAAGAGGAACGTAAGGAGCCCCCCTTTCCGGCCTAGGCAGTCCCTCCCAGAATTGGGGGGTTGGGGGGCCGAGAGGTTAAGTTTTCTACGCCGGTTTCAATAAGAGATCCACTACAGGACTTGCAAAGGGGCTGGGAAGGGAGGTGGCCGGGCCCAGATCACACCCGAAAAGGACAGGAGAAGGCCCGCAATGGTGGGGGAGGAGAGAGGGCTGGTGAGCAGGGTCTACTCCCTGCTTCAGCTTCAGGTGCCGGGTGGCTTCCCCAAGAGGTTAGAGCTGCAACTCGGTAGCCGTGGGGCCCTAGTGACAAGCGCACGCCCCGCCCTTTCTCCTCCTTGGATCTGCGGGCTTTTGTTATGCAGATGACGGCAGGAGGCTGAGCCAGAGGAGGCGGGGGTTGGTGGGAGGTGGAGAGACGGAGCGGGGTGGGGGTGAGCAAAGTGCAGCTCTCGCGACCAGCCTCCTGTTCCAACGTCACATTGTGCGAGAGACAAAACCCGGGCGCGCCTGAGCTCACACGCGCACGCACGCACAGAGACGACCCCGCCGCCGCCTCTCTCTCCCGGCGCCGCCGAGAAAGCCAGCCTTCCCTTCCCTAACTGGGGCGCGGAAGCTCGGGAAGCTCAGAGCGCAGCCCAGAGCCAGCCCAGGAGCGGAAGAAAGCCAGAGGACAAGCCTTCTTTTCCCCCTGACTGCCGGGCTGAGGCGCCCCATCCCCCGCCCTGAACCCCGATCTTTCCCACCCCAGCTCTCTGGGTTTCGGGCGGACGGACAGAGCCCCGAGCCCCGTGCGCCCCGGTTTGGAATAGACGTTTCAGCACTTCGGACAGCGCCTGGGCGTCTGTCCCCTTTGCGTTGGCTATGGCGAGCGTTCAGCAAGGCGAGAAGCAGCTTTTTGAGAAGTTCTGGCGAGGTACCTTTAAAGCTGTGGCCACCCCACGTCCTGAGAGTATCATTGTCGCCAGTATTACAGCCCGCAAGCCGCTGCCCAGGTAATGACCTCCTTCTTAAGAGGGGAGACCCTCTGCTCCCCCTTTCTGGCCTGTGCCCCAGAACCCTGAGGGGTGGATGTTCTTTCCATCACTACTCGCTCCCTCCCCCTGGAACATGGGAACTAATCGCTGGTACGAGGTGGAAGCTGGTGAGAAGGGACAGGGAGCCCTTAGCCAGGAGCAAACACAACTGTCTGCCGGCCTGGCAGCTTCTTCCGCTCGAGAGGTTCTGCTTGCTTAGGGTGGGCAGTGTAGGTGGGATACGACTTGACTGAGAAACTTTTCTTGGTATCACAGAGCTCGGAGCAAGGGGTGGGGGAGGAATGGGGGGGTCGAGGTGGCTGAAGGGGTACGGAATGCGAGGATGAGGGTCCATCCAGTTCGAGCAGTGTTCGGAGACAGTGGCACATTTCTATTCTCAGCTCAGGAACTAGCGAGCTCCGGAGGCTTTGACAAAAGCCCATATGCTGTTCCCCCAAATACACCCCAAACAGCACCCTCCTCTACGCCTTCCTGGCCACTGCTGCTGCTGTTGCTGCTGCTGCTGCTGCTAATGAATTCTCTCCTCTCCAGCATCCAAAACCAGGACTCTGAGCTCCAGAGTCAGCGAGGAGCCTTCCAAGATCACGGAGGTGGTCTGGGAAGAGTTTTAGCTGTTTTTTCAAAAAGGCTCTGATTGCTTTGAACTCAGGCATGAGAAGAGATTCTTAGATGGTGGTGGACATGGTGTGATGGGAGGAAGACAAGGGAAGCAAGGAGAAGGATGCAGAAAGGAGAAGAGGGTGAGGGCGGAAAGGAGAGAAGGCTGAGCAAAACGGAAGCATTCCAAGGTAGAGGACACCCAATTCTTTTTCCGGAACTGTTCAATTTCGAGGAGTTTGAGAATGAAAGGCAAAAGGCTGTGTGTGCCCTGTGTCAGGGAAAATCAAGGCAGTATGAAAACTCAATGTGCTGGTGTTGGATGAGTGGTTTGGTGGGAGATAAAGAAACAAGTGGAGCAGGGGCGACCACTCGGAGGATTTATTAGTCCTGGCAGGCTACATTAAGGGAGCGGATTAAAAACCTGCCTGGGAAAGTGCTTCAGACAGAACGTCTGCTCTGGCGCAACGGAATCTGAACTTCACAGTGGCCGTGGGGTGGAGGACTGACCGGGATCAGACCTAAAATCAAACCCAGACTGGAGAACTTTTCAGGGTCTGATGGGGGCCGGGCTCACCCAGGTCTTTAGAAAAATGGGTGTCCCACATGGGGAATGGGTGGACGGGGTGAGGGGCCAGCAGGACTTAGTGGACAGCAAGCAGCAGTCGCCAGTGTTTGTGGGTAGGAGGCAGGGGACCCCTCTGGCGCAGGCTGGAGAAGGGGAACAATGCCATCAGAAGCTGATGTTTCTCTGCTTGGAAAGGGGCTCTTTGTAGAGAGTTTTGACGTCAGCAGTTTTACCTTCTTGGGCTCCTGCCATCCCTTCCACCTTTGGAGAGCACCTACTGTTGGCAAATCAGGTGCTGCACTGGACAAAAAAGTATGTCCTTGTAGAGGGACTAGAGGCAATTTCACTGGAAACCAGAAGTGTGGCCTTTGGTCCAGAGCCGTCTGTATATGCCAGGCGTCCAGGGAGAGGAGGGGGTGTTCTCATTCTGAAAAGCACGCCTGCTGTCCGCCTGGCACCCTTAGTACCCTCGCCCTTTCCTGTTGGGCTGTCGCTGGCATGCCCTGTTCCTCATCCTATTCTCAGTCACGTAAATTCCCCACAAGGTCCTCCAACTCTCAAGCTTTTTGTGCCTGTATGTATCCCTATTCACTCCATCTGAGAACCTCGCAGTAGCCAACCCTCCCCACACGGGTGGTATTTCACCCCTGGTGTCTTTGAACGCGCCGGGTCTCCGCCCCTGAGGCAAAAGTCTGAGCCAGAAGCCCCTCACGTCTGTCATGCTGGCAAGACCCCCTCAGTAGGTCTCCGACAGGTGTGGCCTCCCTGTAGCACAGACTCCGGTTTGTAGCTGTTACTCTGGGTTTGGGGTGGAGCGTGAGCAGGGAGCATTCATGTTCAAGTCTTCAGGAAAGGCTGGTCCGAGTTGTCTTTTAACAGACTGTCCATGAAACCGGGAGCACCCCGTGCTCACTGCAGCCAGCCACATCTAATGGTGGTCAGTTCCCACCTCCTTTTGAACGTTCTGTGCTGACTTAAAGGTGAATGTGCCATGTTTCTAAGCAGACTTCTAGGAAGGAAAGCGACCAAGACCCTGGCATGGCATCAGCTGGGTCCCAGCAGCTTCCCCTAGAGGCAGCCGGGGGACTTGGCCTCGTCAGAAATGTCGTTCAGTTGCATGAGTCCAGCCCAGGTCACCGTCAGCGGACCGGCCCCTGGAGCTCTCTGCAGGGAGATGGGGGAGGAGGCGGACTAGCACCAGCCGGTCCTGTTGGTTTCACACTTACTATTTGTTTATAGATGGGGGCTACCCCCTGAGTGAACTTCCCCAGGATATTTTAAGTCTATCTGTGAAGATAATTTAGTACCAGGATAGACTGCACACATTCAGTTTGTTGATTTCGTAGCAATAGGCACAGATCACATGGGCACCCAGAGCAGAGCATCCCCTATTCCCTCCCCCTCCGCCGCTCCCCCTCTGGGAGGCATACTTGATGAGGCAATAGCTTCACAATGCATCAAATTGCAAGCAGCTGTCTGACTCAAATGTCAGAACAGTGGAGTGGAGTGGGAGGCAGTGTACCCTAGTGGTTAGGAGTCCAGACTTGCGTTTCAGACAAACCCGGGTTCTTGTTCTGGTTCTGTCGTTTAAGCTGAGGGTCCTAGACGAGTGACTTTCCCTTGCTGAGCCTGTTTTATCAGTTTGAAAATAGAAATAGTGATAGTAGCCATCCGAGGCAGCGAGTTGGGAAGAGCGTGTCCAGTACGGCACTTCCCACAGTGCGCAGGCGTGGTGATTGTCCAGGAGATACCGCCTCTCACACAGACAGCTCAGCGCCGTGGTGGCCAAAGGACATCAGCAGTTCCTCCCAGGACTGTGCTCTTCGTGCCCACCCATTTCTCCCCTTCACTGCTGCTGCCATAAAAGTGGTGGGATTGCGGCTCCTGACAGGCGATTACATCGAGGTGCAGTTCACACACACCAAGTGGGAGTGTTCCCATAATTCCCCGCCCTAAGGGAAGGTGAGCTGCTTTCTGATCTGCCTCAGCCAGGGGGTGGGGGCTGCTGAAGGCCAACCTGGATTCAGCAAAGACCGGTGCAGCATCTTTATGGAGTATTCTTCTGGTTTATAGAGAGATAACCAGGTGCTGCTAGTCTGGAGGAGGCTCAAACTCCCTCCAAATCCCTAGTTCCGACAGATCCAGGGTGACTCTATAATTTCCGGCTCCTGTCAGGATTGAGAAGGCGTTGCTGTGTGCAGCTCTCCCAGGTTGGGAGACCCACCAGGGACCGACTCTCCCAGGCCAAGCGACCATGTAGGATCGTGGTGGTCAATCGAGAGATGCACAAATCAGTAAGATGCTTGAAGTGTGAGAGGCCCCCCCCTTGTCCCCACCAAAGAAATCTAGTCATTTGCCTTGGCATTAATTCATTATCTGGTAATTGCTTAGTCTGGAAAAGTTTGCACCCAAGAAATTTAGACTCAAAGAGGAAAACCTAGTGTTTGGGGCCAGCTCAAACGATGATAATCATGTAGACCAATAGTAGTTGAGGACTTAATGAACATGTAAAAATTACTTGTAATTAGCATATCAGTTGTTCATGGATTCTCGTGTGCTGGTAAAGGGCTAGAGAGGGGGGTCCCCCTAACATGGAGTGAGTGTTTTCTTCTCAATTCTTTTGGCAAGCCATTAATTTTCTTCGAAAAGCTTTTCTGTTCAGAATAGTCCAGAAGCTGACTTCAGCCCAGTCCCTGTCCCCAGGGTCATAAATTCCAAACTGTTGGAGATTTTACTGCATGAAGGGAAAGAGGGCCAAATGGTTAAGTCAGGAAAAATGCCTTGGAACCGTTCAATTGGAGACTGTCCTCTGTGCCAAGAGATCGGCTGGCGCATTTGTGCTGACTGTGTCCTCAGGCGCAGAGTAGTGAGGGGCTGCTGGGGCGTGACTTCCTGGTGGCCTGCGTAAGAGCCAGTGCACCTAGGCTCAGGGACAGTGCTTCCTTGCCGAGGAGTGAAAGCTCTTCCCCGGAAGGGTGTGCTACCGCCTCGGTCCAGCCTCTCCTTCTGAAGTCTTTTGAGTGGCGTAGGTGGGTTGGAAGGAGATCGCGTCCGACGCCGCTGTGTTCGTTTGGCAGCGTGCTGTTTTCAGAGACCTGGGCTGTGGCTGCTGGACTGGTTGGTGGAAGTTGGATGCCTTAACTGAGCAAGTAGACGTGGTCCAGATTCAGCAACAGATGAGCTCTCCCCAGAGCCGCTCCTGGTCCTGACACACCGGGGACTCTGAGCAGTGCAATCCAGAGACACACACGCTGCACTCGGATTTGACTCTCGCTAGTGTCAGAACGAAGCTCCCCAGACACAGACATCTGGCTGGCTGGGAGGCCAGATGGGTCAGCTGGAGTGGGGACAGGAGGCCGGACCAGATGCCACCTGCAAGTGCCTTCTAGGCCCCTGCGAGTCTCCATGAACGCCACCCCCACTGCAAGCCACCAAGAACGAGAAGCCTCCCTAAGAGCGTTAATTCCTTTAAGGGGAAGGAAGCCTGGGTGACATGCCTTCTGCTCCATGAGCCCTCAGGCACGCTGCAGGGGCACAGACAATTTTAAAAATATCCTTTCTTCCAGATTTACCTTCCTGTGAGGTGCGACAATTTGCAGGGGCTTAAAAAAGCCAGAGGTCTGTCATTGCTTCTTCCCCAGACTTTCCCTGAAGTGTGAGGAGTGTTGCCGAGGGAGAGAAAGCGGAGTGGTAAAAGGCTTCAGCTCTGAAGTCAGAGCTACCCAGGCTGAAATTCTACTTTGCTTTTTCCTGGCTTAGGAATCTGCGAGTCACTTCACTGCTGTATGCCTCG